AAAAATAGATAATTTTAAAAAGTGAGATATTATTTTTTAATACTAGATTGAATATTTTATAGAGAAATCTTGAATTTAAGAAAAAATAAAAAGCGAAAAATTTATGTTGCATATATACAGGTGCGTATTTACCACACGAAACGAGCACCTTATTATTTTTTTGACGAAGTTTTTAAGTTTAAATATGTGTGTGTATAAATATATATATATGTATATATATATATATATATATATATATATATATATATATATATATATATATATATATATATACACACATATATATATATATATATATATATATATATATATATATATATATATATATATATATATATATATATATATATATATATATATATATATATATATATATATATATATATATATATATATATATATACATAAAATTCTAAAATTGGTTGTCTACAAATTTTTAAATTTTACTATCTTTTAGTTTGAATAATATCTATTTAAACAAGTATGGAACAAGTTCCTTTATAATTAAATAAATTATGCAAAATGATTTTTGTTACCGTACTACTTTACTATTGCATTTAAATATACTTGAAATAGTTCTGTGTAATTGATATTGTATATATGTATAACTATATATACATAAATAAATATATATTATTATTAAATATATATATTCAAAGATTGCAACCACTCCAGGATCACATATTTCTTTATTCTTCATTTACATAATTCATAAGTGCTTTCATTTGAGTAGTTGTCAAACTTATTTTGCACGCGTTCTTCTTTTTGAAGGAAAAGTGATTCTTCAATTATTTTCATGTGAATCACCTTTTTCAGAAAAATAAATTTATTTTTTTGTAACTATGACAGCCCCGGGATCCCGGTGATCCCAAAATCCCGGGATGTCGTACAAATTGTTCATCCTAAAATACCAAGATTATTCGTCAAAAAAAGTAAAAGTTAGTAAAGTTTAAGCTTATAATTGTAATAAAGTTATTTGTACATTGTTTTTGGTATTGTAGCTTTGGTATTATACTGGATCTAGCTCAAATGTAAGCAACAATCCAGGCTTTAAAACAGTAGTTTGTTAAGTGGCCTTAAACGTGTAGAAAGAAAAATGCAGCATTCTAAAGGAGCTATTAGTACTATGTATTGAGGGAGTGCAGCTGGTCAGTTTCTGCCTCCCATGGTTGTTTATAAAGCTGGAAACTGCTACATAGAGTAGACAAATGGTGGCCCACCTGCAACTATATTTGACAGTTCAAAATCTGGTTGGTTTGACTCTAAAACATTTGAACGTTGGTTCAGGGAAATTTTTATTCCTGAAACTGCATCTCTTACAGAAACTAAAGTTGTTATTGGGGATAATTTAACTATCTTTAATGATAACACATTTCTGATATCATCAAAGCATGCTTATAAAATAATATCCGGTTTACACGTGTAATCCTAAAGGCTACACATCTGCTACAACCGCTTGATCTTGCTGTTTTCTGATCCTTGAAAGTTAAATGGAAGTAGATTTTACAAACATGGAGAAGAGAATCACAAATCAAACGGTCAATTCCAAAAAGCCATTCCCTAGCACTATTGACAAAGTTGCACAACACTCTGAACAACTTAAAAGCTGGATTGACATATATCTATTGAATTGAGAAAAAGTATAAAACGACTTCCAGATGTCAACAAAGACTATGGCGGTGAGACCATAAAAGAAATAATAAATGAGGGTGTAATAGGTATTCTCACAAAGTAATATGGCAATGATGCAGCAGGAAAAACCAACGATAACGAGGGGAAAAATTGCACTAGGAAAATTGATTACAATTGATAACATTGATTATAGACAAACATCAAAACAGAAAAAATCCAAAAACCAATATTTTAAAGACAAAAAATAAAAACTAGCATCAAAGGGTGTCGAACCTTTGTCTGAATTAGAAGACAATGAATGTAATGACAAGAAAGATGTTGATTTAAATGAGTCTAATCAAGAAGAATCTGAATACAACAATTTTCTAACTACAGGGAGTTGACATGTTGCATTCTACCAAGGAAAAACTAAAAAAAGTGTAAAATTGAATTACATTGGACAAATTGTTGAGGTTTTATCAACACCCAAAATTCTTTATATGAAGTTCCTAAAGAAAGTAGAGGGATCCAAAAATCTGTTTAATTATCCTGTTGCATAAGACATCATTTTTGCTGTACATTTCTCAAATATATTGGAACATCTTCAACCACCAAAGACAAATAATAGTTATCAACTAGAGTTTGCAAATGTAAAAAGATGTCAGATATATTCATTAAGTGATTGAACTCAGAACATTTCATTTAAGAAAATTAACACTTTGTCTTTCCAACATTTATTTTACTAATTAGTACCCTGCAGTAGTTTAGAGGTACTGCACAAAATAACTAATTCTTAGTCCGGTTTTAACACCTGTTGTTGTGATATCTTCAGATAATGTGATTATTAGGTTTTTTTGTTTTGGTACCTTTTTTTAATTTTAAATGGAGTTAAACAAATAAAGTACATTAGTACTTAATATTTATATAAAGTAGGTACTTTTTTTGTTAGCACTATTTTATAACTATTATTTAAAATTACTCCAATGATGCTATTGATTGATTATATTGTTATGTTTAGCATATTAACACCAAATTGTTTTTTGTTTTTTTTGTTCATTCTGTGGATATATTTGATATTTTATTGGTAAAGTTATTAATTTAGACAACAAGATTGGTATCTTGTTGTCTAAATTAATAAATTTACCAATAAAATCTTAAAAATATATTTGTATATTGTCTTGTAACTTAGTAAATCTCCAAAGAAAAGTATTAATGGCGCTTGTTAAAATGGCTCAATTAATAAGCTTTTAAGAAACTATCAAAGACTATCTTGTTAATAAACTATCATACCCAAGCCATACCCAACAAAGAATCGATAACATTTTTGACTTAAAAAATATATATTAGAACCAAAAAATATATATATATATATTTAATGGAGTCCTATAAAGAAAAGGTATAATGTTATATCAAAAAAATATAATTAAAAAAAAAAGTTATACGAAAGAATTTATTTGCGAAAATGCTCAAAAACCTATCAAAATCACTCTATAACATAAGTTTTGACGTTGCCGTTATATTTACCGTGTGACGGTATATTATAAAAAATAAATAAAATTTTAGTGCTTGCTGGTGGAAAGAGTAAGTGTTTTGAATAGAAGTTTTTAAAAGAAGGTATACCTAAGTTTAACTTTGAATTTTCTGCTTTAAAAAGTGCATACGTGCACCATTTGGACCGCCAAGTATCTAAATGTTCATCCGACGCTAAACCTTATACACTGTATATGGAGGAAGAAAAACACCATCAGTAGTACATGCAAACATTATAGATACTGATGACTTTGATGTATTTATAACTCTTTCAGCATGTTTAGTACCTTTACGGAATGTCATTTGTTTTGATTTTGGGTCATCAGAAAGATTAGTTTTATCATAGTTTATTATGTTTTGTGGTAGAACATTTTTTGAAGGATCTTCTTAGTTGTTAAGAAATCTATCTACAAATAGTTTTTTTAACAACTAAGAATAAAAATGCAGTAAGTGTGGAGCAATTTTACACACTTTTGTGGAAAATAACTTTTTCTAACTTGGCTTCTGCACAGAAGTGTGGAGTTATTTCCACAAAAGTGTGCAAAATAACTCCACACTTGTGTCTAGGAGTTACAGCTTCACATCGGTGCGGAGGAAAACACCACACTTTCCGCGAGTGCGCAGTCTCTTACAGATTTGTTAAGTAAACGTTGTACAAGTAATTTGATTCTATTTTATCAAATACATAGCCAAAACCACAAAAAATTGTAATGTATTGTTCAATTGAAATCTCATCGTTTGGTAGCAATAAACTCTTTCGACCAACCACACTACTTTAGCGTTAACCACTAATATGATAAAGTTCTATGTAGTTTGCTTAGTAGCCTTGCCACACTTTAACAAGGTTCCCTATCATTAATAAAATTGATATCTCTTTAAAATACACTTTCTGGGTAAGTTTTTGAATTGATCTTAAATAGTCTCACACCATTTCCACAAATCTGTTATTGAAAAGGGAAAAAGATGAGCTAGAAACTCAAGTTATTTGTATTTTTAAATATTAATTTTATAATCAAAAATATTATAAGAATAAAAACCAGGTAATTCAAAAGATTCTCATTTAACCCATATAAAAGTGCTTAATTACCCTACCTTACATTAAACACCTATATTTTATGAACAAATCATTTATAAGACTTGAAAACTTGTACGAGATTACTTAGAGAAAAATTCAAAATTCTAAAAAAGTTTCAACTACAAATACCCTTAGTGTCTCCAGTTAAGTTTTACGGACTTCTATAAATCTACACCGTGTTATAATAAACTTGTAATCGATTATTTCTTTCTTTCAAAAGAGCTGTAATTAACAACTTATACTTTGTTTAAGTTACTTTATGTATTTTTAGCTTGAAAATAAACTAAGCATTAATACTAAATGTTTTATTTATCTTTTAAAATGATTATGTTAACGGGTGCGCGAATACCCCACGCCACGGTAAGAATTTTTCAAGTTTAAATTACTTTATTAAATTAACATTTTCGTTACAAGTAAAAAGAATTTAAATTATTTTTCGTAATCAATTTATTATTACTTAAAATTACGGTATAACAGTGTATTTTAAATTAAGTAGAATCGTTAAATGAAATTAACAAATATTATTACAATTTTCATTATTAAAAAAATAGGTATAAAACATTATATATTAATAACTTAATAATAATAATTAATTAAAAACTGATTATATAAGAATATTAAAAAAAAAAAGAATTAATGATATATTTTATTGATAAAAGATTTTTTTAATAAAAATTTTTAATAAAAACTTCTAAATAATTAAATTAAACTATTAAAGTAATAAAATTAATTTGTATATTTAAAAAAACTATTTATTATAAAATAATACATTAAATATTTCATTAGTTATTTATAATTATTGTTTTTATTTAATATATTAAAGATATTAAATAATTTATTGTGTTGTAAAGTTTTTTAAATCATCGAGGTTATAAAAATATTTTCTACGGTACCTTATCTCAAACTTCTTGACATTCGAACAACGAATCCATTCATAAATTTCTTTAATAAAATCAATGTCGTCGTGAAGTTCAAGAAATAATACTTCACAAAGATTAATCCACGGAAGAAAGTTTTCTTTAAAATCTTTTTTTGTTATTAAATAACGTGAGATCTGCAACTTTTCAATCTTATTTTTCGGTTTCCATCCTTCAATATTAATTGGACGTTGAAAGTTGACTTCGAAATTAATTGGATGATTAAAGATGACAACGCAAACATTAGTCGAACATTGAATTAAAAGTTTTTTTTCTTCGTCACTTAAAATATTTTTAGTAACACTTAACCACCATAACCTTCTTCCAGATTTTAAGTAATGATTTATGAAATAATTTTCGCAAGAAGTTAAGTAAGAAGTTTTTCCATCGTAAATCGAAATACTCTTACCCAACTCTCGTTTATCAACAATTGATTTTATTTCATCAGTAAATGATGATTGACTTTCATAAAAACATTCAATGAATAAAAAATGGTCTAAATACTTTTCACTATCTATATCACTTTCACTTAGACGATCTAAAGTAAAATTAAATATTAATTATAAAAATAAACAAATAATTAAAATAATAATTGAAATAATAATCGAATTATTAAAATACATTATAATAATACACATACATTTATATCAAAATTAGAATTGAAAAAAAGGTTATATATAATCTATTATTGGTACAAATTAATTATATTTTACATTATAATATCATATACATAAATTAATATTAAATTATAATAGTACATAAATATATCAAAACTGTTAAAGTTATCAATAAAATTATTCTTTGATAAAAATTATAAAGAACTTTTTTAATATTATCAATGTGAACATAATTTTCAGCAAAATTTTAAGCAAAATAATTTAATTTTATACAATAAATTATAAATTATTATACTTAAAAAATAATCAAAAAAAATGTTTTTAATTTATTTAAATACTTTTAAAAAGTATATACCTGTACAAAAATAATTCACTTTACAGAAATTAAAAATATTAATTAAATAAAAAGTTATGTTTTGTTAAATAAACAGCTTAGTTTACGCTAACTCACCGTAAACTAAGTTAAAAATATTCTCAGCTTGAGTGCATGATACAAACAAACTAAGCTACTAACTTAAAAATAGACCACGTTCATTACAACTTTAAAGGGTTTACTTTAAGGTACTACATAAAAAAAATCTTTTTAAACACTTTAAAAAAATAGATTTCTGCCAATAAATCGGGTCTCAGAAACAATAGTGCGACTGTTTGAACTTATCAAAATTTGTTAATACTTAAACTCAAGCCATATAATATTTTTTATTGTGTGTTGACACAAATATAGTTTTTATTGTGTGTTGAAACAATTAACTAAAAGTGGTTAAATATTCTAGATTGTTAAGCTTCTAGATATCTATTGTGTGTGCATTTTTACGCGGCTTTTTTACTCAATGTAAAAGCTAGCCTGAGGTCAAGAGTTTATTATAAAAAAAAAAAAAGTATTTTCAAATAAAAAATTAAAAAACTTAAAGGGATCCCAAACTCCCAACACATGTTATGTTCATATTAAAGATAATGTTAAAAAAAAAGGTTTAAACCAAGTTTTTTTGATTAAAAATAAACTGAAAAAAACTAATCTTGTATTAGCCGAAAAAAACTAATCTTGTTTTAGCCTAATTTTAGTTTTAGCCAAAGCTCGCCTTTTCCATTTTTTTCAATAACTCGAAGTCTTTAAATTATACGTCGCAATCAACAGACTTTGGCGATTCCTTTGCAGCGCGTTTAATTCATACAAGTTTTAGCTTTAGTGACGTCACGGTAGAATTTTAACAAATGAAAAGTGTGATTAAACTTTAGACGATATAAACTGATAGACACGGCGCTAGTTAAATAAAACTCATCTCAAAGTGAAGCCAAAATAAATTTTGTGCGGTGACGTCACTTTGTGGCAAAAAACATTTTTTAAAAAAGAGTTCGCTCTTACATTTATCTCATTTTTTAAATCAATTTTAATTATGGTGCATTCTTGCAGTGCATACAACTGCACAGAAAGATATAAAAATGATTCAGACATATCAGTTCATGGGTAAGAATTTGTAATAAATAAAAAATAATTTAATATCATATAATTAATAATTTTGAGTCATAGCCTATGAAAGTATGGAAATAACTTTAATAAGATGTCATTCCTATGACATAGGATTCTAAGATTTTTTCCGTACTTTCCATGCATACATACAACACTGTTGTGTAGCATCATGCTACACAACAATGTTAATGCTAAGCATGCTTTGGGTTTTAAATACGTTTTGATGAATGGTAACATTTACCATTCACCTATTATATTTACACTATATTATATTTACACCATACATATTACATTCAACCTATTATGTTTACACCATACATATTAGCCACAGACTGTTAGTAATAGTCTATATGTATTCAAAACCCTAAGCATAAGTTATAGTTTGAAAATTACTAAAATCTAGCAAACTGTTTATAAAATCTTGTTTTTGAATTTTTAATTTCTGATTTTGGAGTTTAAACTATTATTAACATGTTAATAACTGCTATAACGTTGTTAATAAACAGTAATATCAGTTGGTATTTGTTTAAAAATTTTAATTATGTATAAACACTAATTATAATTTGTTTTGTTTTTATTTATGAAATATTTTTATATTGTAGATTTCCAGAAGATTTAATTCGGAATAAATGGATTGTTGCAATACGTAATAAATGGATTGTTGCAATTTGTTCTAAGCATTTTACACAAGAATCGTATTTAGTAATCAAGTAATCGAAGTTGAAATTACTATAACAAGTTTAACTTTTGATGGTGTTTCGTCTAATATTAGTATGGCTAATCATCTTGGAGTTGATTTTTCTGTTAACTCTACTTGCACATGCTTTTCACATCCAGTTACAAAAAAGCCAGTTTACATTATAATGGATCCTCCACACATGTTAAAACTGATAAGAAATAATTTTGGTTTCACAAAATAATGTTTGATTCTAATAATTAACCAATAAAATGGGATTATATTGAAAAGTTAGTAGCTATTCAAGAAAAGGAAGGGCTGCATTTAGCAACAAAACTTACAAAAAGACAAATTGGTTTCAAGAAAAAATAAAGGTCAAGTTGGCTGCACAAACATTTAGTCAAAAAGTTGCAAAAGAAACAGAATATTTAAGAGAAAGTCAGTACTCTAAGGCTTTTGAAGACAGCAAAGCAACAGAAAAATTAATCTATAATATTAGCAACATATTTGACATTTTAAATAGCAGGAACTTATTAGCTAAAAGTTTTAAAGCTAGTTTACAACAACAAAATAAAAAAGCTATTTTCAAAAAAATAAAAGAGTCAATAGAATATTTAGTCTTAAATGTGCTAACAATCGAGGGCCTATACATTAAAGTCAGAGAAAAACAGGCTTTATTGGCCTGAAGTCTTTTATGGGAATATGGAATGACTATGTTTAAAATAGCAATAGTAGTTTAAGGTATCTTTCTGCTTACAAATGATCTCACAGCAAAACAATTTCAAGCTGCCTACAAAAAATTATTAATGCACACAAGTGTTTCAGGTTCTTCTCAAGCCAATTGCATTGAGCAAGCACCATCGATAACTTTAGCAATGAGTACATTAAAATGTTAAAATGAAAACAATTGATCATCAGCTCATTGAAGATTTTGAAATGGAAAAAACTAATTCTGATGACCATGCATATGCTCTAAATGACATAAGTTATTCAAGAAAATTATTGTTATATGTGTCTGATGTTGTCGATATATTGCTGGATTTGTTGTAAAAAAAGTTAAAAAGGTTTTAGATTGTGACATTTTATTCACATGTAAACTTGCAGAAAGTGAAACTAGAATTTTTCAGGAAGAAAAGAGGATGTTTCAAAAAAATATAATGACAAAATTGATTATTAATATTCTTAACAGTGTTCGCAGTTCTATTTTTATTGATAATAGAGATCATATGTTTGACAATGATGTTCAATCTAATCATTTGGTCAATTTAGTAAAAACGATTAGCTTCTATTATTGTAACCTTAGGTTATACCACCAAGCAGATACTTGAAATAAACATTCAAAAAACTACGAAGTAAATTAACTAAGAGTATTTTATTTTGTGGTCAATAATATATATATTTACATATACATTTAACTTTTTGTTATTTTTACCGTCCAATAAAATCGAGGGTTTTTCATTAATTTAAAAGTTTTTGGCTTAACGAAATTGTTTAGTAATTGATTTTTATTAGAATTAGTCTTTATTAGAAAATGAATCCTAAAAAATAAAATAATTTTCTATAGAAAGATTAAACTTTCTTTCATAAAGTTCTTAAGAGTTCTTTTAAGAACAAGTTCGTTTTAAAAACTTAACTAAAATCCTTTTTATTTTGCGTTTTTTTGCCACAAAGTGACGTCATACACGAAAAATATTTTGGCTTCAACTTTTTCAGAAAACGCCGTGTCTATCAGTTTATATGGTCTAAGGATTAAACGGAGCTGCGTTTTTCTATTTTAATTCAAAAAGTACGATGCAGTATTTTTTTAACATACAGCAAAACAACTTTTACAGCAAAGCAACTTTTACAACAAATTTTTGTAAAATCAATTAATTTTTATTTTTTTAATTTTGTAAAATCAAAAATAATAAAAGATTTTTATTTTATAGGAGCAACGTTTCTTACCGACATCTTAATAATTTTTAGATTTATATATCTTATTAATAATTTTTTTGTTTTTAAATTAAAAACAAATATTAAAGCTTTACGAATCTTATGATTTTCAAACAAGTGTTTTACATTATATAGAACGTTATGTATACATTCTCTCGTTTTTGTGCAAGAGAGCGCAGTATTATATATTCTGAATCTTACTTATATTCATTTAAACAATTGGAACTATTTTCTAACTTTTCTGGTCGTTTTGACAATATGACAATTTTTGTTTTCCCGTCAAAAAAAAAGTATTAACAATTACTTTCATTAACTGACAGTATTAATTAGAGATATTTGATAAAGTGTTAAATTTTTTTGTTATAAAATTTTTTTGATTACGCTGATTTAATTTAAATTGCTAAATTTGCTAAATTGGATACGGATAAAAAGAAAATACCATTTTATTTACATTTGATTTTTGATAACGAAACGTTCAAAATGCCAGAAACTCCATACCAATTAGAACCTGTAGAAATTATGAAAAAAAATTAAAAGAATATGCTAAACAATACAGTTGACAGTAGCAGGGCCGCCGAAAGGGAGGGGGGCATCAGGACAGTTTGTCCAGGGCGGCGGATGTCCATAGGGCGCCAGATGCCGAAGTAAAATAAAATAGTTTTTTTATTCATAAAATTCTATAATTAAAATGTATATATTACTCGCGTTATATCCTTGTTTTTTATTCCTCGAAAAGTTTTTAAAAAATACGAACTCATCATTGATTTCGTATTCTATACGCTATTAAATTGAAAATGTCCCTTAAGATTTTTGCATTCATCAGACTAAAGTAAAAAAAACGCAAACGTTGATAATTAGCAATAGCAAACTGTGAACACAATTTAGAAATAACTTTGTTCAGAATTTAGAAAGTAAAAGTAATTATTTTTCAACTATTCGTTATGATCGACTTATTTATGGTATTTCATATTTACGATTTATTTATATTTATCTATTGAAATATTGATTTATGACATTAGCTTTTTGAGTTTATTATTTTTTGATGAGTTTGCGTATTTGACTTGGCTATTATTTTATTGATGCGTACTGTTATTTACAGTAACTGTTGATAATGAATCGTAAAAAACTTTCTGGTGCCCAAAATCGGGCATTGGCTTCCAAAAGAGCAAAAGACTGTGAAAAAAACAAAAAAAAGCTTCACGAATTAGGTTGGTTTTACAAAGCTACTAAACAAAATACTGATTTGAAGGTGAGTTAGTAGAAATATATAGGTCAATAAATATATTTCTTTTATTTCCGAAGCAATTTAAGAAAAATAATTAAACATTTTTTAAGTCGGCGGAATTAAATAAATCAGATCAAACAATGGAATCATTGTATTATGATGATGTTGATCTACATTCTCTTGGTTTAGTGGAAAATGAAACAGACAACAGTTTTAACGATGAATTAAAACCTTAAGAAAATAAAGGTTTTTATACAAACAATAATTCAAAATAGTTAAATAATTAATTAAGTTTTAGGTTTTAAATAATTTTTTTTAATTCAGGCGTTGAAAATGACCCAGCACTAGCCATCAATTCTTAAGCAAAGAGAAAAAGAAGAGTTAATCAAAAAAGGTCTATCAACTTTACCTGATGATTTCTCACGAGATGCTTCTAATAATAGGGCCTTTCCAAAAGAAGTTGTTTTCATTGCATTGCCTAATGGAGAAAAAGTTCAACGAGATTATCTGATATGGAGCCGATTGTCTAACTCTCTTCTTTGTTTCCTGTGTTCTTTATTTGAGTGTGAAAATTCCGGATCCTATGGGGATCGATCTCTTCTTCTTTGCTGGAATGGAGGAATAAAAAATGACTGGAGAAAATTGAGTGATTGTATCAAAAGTCATCATAGCATCCCAGTTCATCAAAGTCATTATCTCAATTGGAAGACTTTGCACTCAGCTCTTGTCGATCAGCGCGGGATCGACTCAGAGTTCCAAAAGGCACTAGAAAAGGAAGCAGCCAGATACTTCGGCGTGAAATACTTTGTTGTATTTTAGATGCAAATTTATTTTTAACATCTCAAAACTTATCCTTTAGAGGTAAAGATTCTAGGCCAGAACTCTAAATACTTAAGAATAAGTTCTTACTTTTAGTATTACAGAATTTCTATTATCTACATTTAACTAACTTAAAAAACATTGTTTTAGGGCAATATTCGTCGATGGAGAAGAACGAGAAAGGGAACTTTTTAAGTTGCCTTTAACTTATTTCTTGTCACAACGAAACATTAAAGAATAATCTTGAAACAGTTGCTAGTCATCAAAATAAAGGAACCAGAATGCAAGCTCACTATCTCTCCTGGCAATCACAAAACAAATTCATCAGTGAATGCTCTACATTAGTTCAAGCAGCAGTTGTGAAAGAAGTAAAAGATGCCGTATATTTTACAATAATTACCGATGGGACCCCAGATATATCTCACACTGAACAAATCGCGTTTATTCTTCGATTTGTGCGTTTCAACTCGGGTAAGATGATTTGGGAAGTTAAAGAACGATTTCTCTGCGTTGAAGATATGGAGAAAAAGAAAGAAAGAAAAAGAAAGGTGCAGATATTGCTTATTTAATTTGCAACATTTTAGCGAAAGTGAATCTCGATTTACAAAAATTGAGAGGCCAAGGATACGACAATTGTTCTAATATGGCTGGAATCTATAATGGAGCCCAAGCTCATATACTGGAAAAAAATCCGTTCGCTTTATACATTCCTTGCGGTGCTCATAGTTTAAATTTAGCTGGAGTTCATGCTGCTGAGTCTGAGATCAAAATGTTTTTTGGCAATATCCAAGCCTTCTACGGGTTCTTTAGTTGCAGCCCAGCAAGATGGAAAATTCTTCACGAAGAGACTGCTTTATCACTTCACAATCTCTCAGGTACTAGATGGTCAGCCCACATAGCAGCTGTAAAACCTTTAGTGAAAAAACCACGAGAAATCATTGCTGCTCTGGATAGAACCGTTAATCAACTTGACCTAACTGCGGACATGTTGAATCAAACGAAATTGTTGGGCAAATAATTTAAGTCATTTGAATCAGTAGTTCTTCTGACCATTTGGTATAAGACACTGCAAAATATTGATAATGTTAGTCGATGTCTCCAGCCGGAGTCAATCACCATTGAAGAAGAAGTCATTCTCATTCAACTACTTCTAGATGACCTAGGTTGCATTCGTTCCTCGTGGAATTGTATTTTGACTGATGCAAAGCTAGTGGCTGGAAACCTAGGCTTTGAAACAGAATTTAAAGTAAAACGCACAAGAAGAGTGAAAAAATTCCACGAGGAACCATCAAATACAGCCCACTACCATGACGATACAGAAAAGAATTTTGAAGTAAATATTTTCAACGTGGCATTGGACCACATAATTCTACAAATTTAGTCAAGATTCAATGTGGCGAAAAAAGTTTCTTTTCAGTTTTACTTTATCTGGCTTCAGTCTGAAGACCCTTCTTCACAAGATGACAAAGCTCGTCAACTTGCGAAATTCTATTCAAATGACGTTAAAGAAGATCTTATTGAGGAAATATGCCACTTTGACCGGTTGAAAGCATCGCCCTTGTTCAGTTAAGGCAACTCTTTCAATCTTTAAAATCAAATATATTCTAAAGGCTTACAACCAATTTTCCCATCGATATGCATACTTTTGCCCATCTTCCACACAATGCCAGTATCCATTGCAGAGGGTGAAAGATCTTTTAGTAAACTGAAGATTATAAAAAACCACTTCAGAGCCACCATGGGACAAGAGCAACTTTCAAATCTTATGGCGTTGTCTATTGAAAATGATTTCGCTCTTTTTATAATAAACAGAAAAAAAAAAGAAAAGTTTCACGTAATTAAACTTTGAATGAATGAGAATTGTATAGAATATTTTTTTCTGCGTCACTCGTTCTTTTTTTAGATAAGAAAAATAAAAGTTTAATTATAACTTTTCTTTGAACAAATTGTAGTTGGAAGAGCAAATTGCTTGAAAACTTGAACTCAGTGCCGGAGCGTATTATAAGGCAAATAAGGCAGCCGCCTTGGGTCCCCAATGTTTAAGGGGCCCCCAAAAAGTTGAAAATGAAGAAATTAAAATTATATATATATGTAATATGTAAAATTATATATATATATATATATAATTTTGCATAATACATATATTAAAATAAATTAAATAAATTAAAATTATATATATATATATATATATATATATATATATATATATATATATATATATATATATATATATATATATATATATATATATATATATAAGACTTGTGCAAACAGATTACGAATATTTAAATTAGATTTCCGCTCCTAAAGCAAAATCTAAATGTTAGATTTTTGTTTACAAAAACATATATATCATATTTATTTATGTTTTACTTCACACTCAATACTTTATAAAACATTTGTATAGTAAGCAATGGTCACACAACTATTTTACTTTTGTAAATCGTTGTGTGATCGCTTTCAAAAAAGAAGTGTGAGAAGATGTGTCATATTTTGCACACTCCTTTTTGATAAAATAATATCTTATAACATTTGAAAACAATAGATGTGAAACAACTTTTTTTTTAAAAATAAAATCTGATGATAAAACATACAAAACTATAAAAATATCTAAAATTAACAAAAATACCTTAATTGCATGTAAAAATCTGCAATTAACAGAAACACCTTATTTAACAAATAAAAAAAAATGTAAAAATTTAGAAATATTTTATATCTTATTAAGCACACTAAATGATTACCTAAAATGACTCACAATAATGCAACGAAGTTTTTGAACTTACCCAAAATAGAACACAAAAGTGATGGTTCTTCATTGGATTTTTTCGAAGGATTCAAGTTAACAAGAAACTTTATTAAACTGTTTTGGTTTTTATTGGTTAATCCACAAATCATTGATAAACAACTTTTCAGTTTTTTATTGGCAGTAATTTCATCACTATTTAAACAATTATATGCATATACAGATGCACAAAACTCCATTATTGTCAAATGTGCAAACTGATAGGAGCAACCCAAATCTGTTTCAATCCTTTCTATAAAACCAAAAAAATCACCTTCATTTTTATCAAGATCACTGAAAAAATCTTGAAATTCTTCTTTGGAAAAAATTATTTTATTTTCAAGAAACAAATTATATGCAATTTTACAAATATTTAAAATATATTTTTTATTGGTATTGTCTTCCATTATCTTATATATCAATTTATTGTTTTTGATGATGTGTTTGCGCAAAAAGTATAAAAAAATATTTGCATACAAATCTGTCATTGTTAAGAAGAAACTTTTATTTTTTTTCTCTACATCACTAATAATTTTACACATTGAAGATAAATAAAATGGAACAGATGCCATGGCTTTTGCAATGGGAGATTCCGTCAAAGTTGTTTTTACAACTTCTTTTTTTTCTTCCATAACATGATTTTCTATATAATTATTTATTCCATTTTCATTAAATCCCATTATTTGAATGGTTAGCTTATTGTTTTGCTCAGTAGATATACTTTGGTATTGATCAATTGCATAAACTCTACCAGCTATTATGTGTTTGTATTTTTGTATTTCTGCTAAAGTATTAACAATTGGATAGTTGCAAGTCAAACTTGGATTTAATAACTCATTGAAATATTTAAACTCATCTAATCCATCAATTATAAACAGTGTAGCATGACTACAAAATTTAAAGTCATTAACAATATCTTCATAAAAAACATTTAGTAATTCATTAATATTAAGAATATTTGGATATTGATTAAGCCTCCTGCATTCCAAATAAAATACAAGTTCAACATTTTTCCAAATTACACCATTTGACCAATCAAGCAAACATTTTCTAAGCAGCCATGTTTTCCCAATACCAGCTATTCCAGATATTAATATTACTGATTTTTCTTTTGTAAATATTTCACTGTATGGAATCGGTGTATAACTCATTTGCTTTTCAAGAAATTTTGTACGTTCAACACTAAAAACAGCATCTTTTTGAGCAGTCACGGAATTAACAATACATAGATCAACAAATTTATGTATTAGATCAACATTTGCTGATGCTTTTAACAGAGGTTCAAGTTCATCAATTTTCCCATAATATTCAAGATAAAATTTTTTTAGTTCAGCAGACAACCTCGACAATTCTAGTTAAAACAAAATTGTTACTAGTAAATAAATAAAACAAAACAGTTTCTAGTAAATAAATACAACAAAACAGTAAAGTTATCATCATAGTAAAGTTATCATCATAGTTTTGAAATAATGATCATCATGAAAATGATGATCATTATTATTATAATTTTATAAAATTCTTGAAATAAAATTTGTGATAAATCTAATGAATCTAAATAACATTTAGTGAATTTGATTTTTATTAAATTAATTATTAAAAAACTTTTTGTTTTGAGTTAAATTTGACAAAACTAAATTTGAACTTTTTTATTAGTTATTATGTTATTATTTTTTATTAGTTGTTATGTTATTATTTTTTTATTAGTTATTATGTTATATAGTCAGACAAAACTTTTATTTTAGCTTTAAATAATAAATTCGAACTAATTTTTCAATTAAAGTTGATTGAAGTTATCACTTCTGAAAAACATTTTAATATGAAATCTATTTAAAGAATCCTTTCTTACAAACTTCTTTTTAAAAGCCCTTACTTATTCTATGCACAGTGTCCTAGTTTGGCAAGTTTAATGTAAACAAAAAAGGCTTCATTAACTGTAATTACCCCCATTACAAATAATGAAGCTTTTGTTTCATTAACTGTAATGACCCCCGTTACAGTTAATGAAACAAATTGAATGTGGCACTACCAAGGATTAGGTGGGGATCAAACGCATCTTGATAGATTACCTTGATAAAAACCCCGATAGATTTCTGTTTGCTCTTAATAACGCTAACACAACAACTTACCAACAATCCTTCATTCAAAAATACTTTCGTATTCTACGTGATGGTGTCAGTGATTTTTACCTGCCATGCAACATTGGCAGCTCAGCTGCATTTTCAACACACAAGTAATTTGTTTATAAACAGTGTTTATTTGCCTAGGCTCTAGTGCTGCTACACTTCTTACATTTTTAGCAATAGAGAAAATTGTACAATTCATTATTTGTAATGCTAATCAATTTTAAATAAAGATTTATAAATGAAAAAATAAATAAAAATAAAAAAATCTTGCAATTTATAGCTAAATTTACTGTGATGCACTATATTCATTTAGTAAATAACACTAAATCTAATTTAAAAAAAGAAGTAGAATATTATTGGCTTCCAAACAGAGTTGGTCACAGATAGGTCAAACAGGGGCAATTTTACGGGTGTGGGTGTGTGTGTGAGGGGTGTTGCACCCCCAATGATAGTGATTTTCAAGTTTTAGTCGCTTTTTTTATGAATTCAGTCGGCTAGTCGGTTAAATTCTCATTTTGAGGACCTTTTTTATTTCTTTTTTTTTTTTTGCAGCAAGTCGGTACATTTTGAGGATTCACCCCTCCTCATTTTATTTGTAAAATCGCCTTTGAGGTCAGGGTTGAAAAGTAGTGACAAAACATGAAAAAAAAAAGTTCTATCTGTTCCAACATTCATTTTTCATTAGCAGAATAGTTAAATTTACAATTTTTACCTTATATTTGAAAATATAGGACTGTTAGTTGCCTTTCATCAACCCTTTAATGTCAACCTATAATCTTGTTCATTGTCACGGAAAACATTGACAAACAGAATAAATTAAACTTGGAAGATCTAGAATGCATCTTACTTTTATAAAGGACTTCACTTTTTTTTTAGAAATACCCAAGTATGATGTATTTCTAAAAAAGATTTACATTTTCTTAGCATTGATGACAATGTTAGAAAATGCATTACATTTTATAGAAGTAGTATAAATCCTTCCATGACAAATTTTGAGTAAAAAGTTTTTTCTTATTGGCCCTACAAGTGATGAATTTATTAAATTCTACAGAGTATTAGATTTTAAAGAACTCTACTAAGATTTAATTGTAGATTAAGCCAAATACATCCAAAACATATTTAAAAGGGCTTGAATTTAATGTCTTTCTGTGACAATGAATGAGTGTCCTTCCGTGACTATTGGATTACTTCTTGAACAAGTTTATTTTATACTTGTGTAACTATATGTTATGATAGACTTTTTTGTTCCTTTTTGCTTTCAGACTTAACTAATTTAAAAAAAAAAGGGAAAGCCTGGTTCACAAAGGCAGAAAGAACATTAATCTAGACTGAAGGATACTAATATAAGAAATACCTTAAAAAAGAAAGAGAGCAAAAGAAGGCAAAGTTAGAACTTTTAAAGCAAAACACTAAAGAATGAGTCCAAGTTGAAAAAAGTTAGAAAGAGTTTTAAAAAAGAAACAGGTAAAAATGTCAAGATGTTATTTTATATGTAATTAGCACAATTGGTGGGAACTTTAGTCCAAATCTAATAAACGGAAGAGGAGGAGGGGGGGGGGGAAGAGAGGGGGGGCATATTGAATCCTATAATCAGCATATCAAATCTTATAATCAAAGCCAAAGCTTTGTTGAGAAACAAACTAAAAGTCCATTTTTAGCAAATCAAGATTTAATAGGTTGACAATTTGTAAAGCCTGTTTACACTGAAAGTTTTTGTTTTTATCGGTGACTGAAAATTATTTTCTAATTTTTAAGGCCAATTTTCACTGCATTTTTTTTTTAGTTTTGACTTGGAGTTATGGTGAGGCATATCACTTTAAAGGACCCCATGATGGAATTGGTGGAACTATTAAAAACCAAGTTTATAGGGAAGTTTTGTCATCTAAAGATGTAATTAAAAGTGCTTTGTTGAAGTAGCTGATCGGCTATGTGACATTACTGTAATCTACTTAGACACAAAAGATATTGAGTCACCAAATTTAAATGATAGCATTTACACTCAAGCAACTTTAGAGGTTTACCATGTTAGAAGATTAAATCTAAATTCTAGATTAAATCTAGATGTTTTTAAATCGTTGACATGGGAAAAAAATAATAGAGAAGCTGAAGGGAAAATTCAAAATTATTGACAATGATGAAAAAATCTATGAACTCTATGAAAATTTTGTTTTTGTTTGCTTAAAAAAGAATTATATAAATTAAAAAAGAATTATATAAAGATTATTAATGTGTACTTTTTGTTATTCATTATTGTGTACTCTTTGTCCTTCCGTGACATGTCCATCCATGACATTAAATGACTTTAATTGATTTGTTTAAACCCAAAATAGTTTGATAGAATATAAACCCTAAATAGAAAGTTAATTTTACAGCCTTTCTATTGTTCCTTACGTGACACAAGTTTTGAAGGCCTGTTGCAGAAACTTTAGAACTCTACAAATAATGTCTATATAATCTCAAATAAGTCTAAATAACCCCAATTACCAAATACCCCAGTTTTAAAGGTAATTTCAAAAATATCATCTCTACGCACTTTTATTTTTTTTTTAGTTTACAATTTAGTGTAACAATTTCCTTCTGATACAAAAACATATCTTTTAAACTTTGCGCATTATTAATAAATTCTTTATGGGGAATGAAATTGCTTTATGGGGAATGAAAATTTATGGGGAATGAAATTGCTTCATGGGAAATGAAAATTTCCAAGCAAAAGAGCAAATTATTATATTTCTAAAACTTTAATTTAGATTGATGTACCATATGGATCATTCTGTTTTTTTTAAAATGACAAAAAAAAAAATGCAAAATTTAAAAGAAAAAAAACTAATCACAAAAATGTTTTTTTAAAAATAAAGAATTGCAAAGATGTAAAATGGAATCAAACAAATAATCTTAGACCTGTGATAATTAATTTAGATATTAATAAGTATTTATTAATATCTTAATATTTTTAAATGACCTATTTTATATGTTGCTTAGTGCATTGCAACTGTTTGTTAACAACAATTGCTTAAGTTTTAAGTATTAGTCTGAGTTTAATTTTTTTTACTTGGTTAGTATATAGGTTAGTAGATAAGACGTTAAATGTTGATGTTCTTAATTGTAATGGTTAATTGATGTTAATAAAAATAGTAAGCTGTTGTCTATAGTATTTATATATATATATATATATATATATATATATATATATATATATATATATATATATATATATATATATATATATATATTATATATATATATATATATATATACTACATGGATTGATAAGTTCCCATAATTCCAAGAAAAACAACAAAATATCCAGAAAAATATGTTTTATTCTTCTACATAATCACCTTTTAGAACAATACATTTATTCCATCGGTCTTTCAACATTTCAATTCCCTTCTTAAATTGATTTTTATCAAGTCCCTCAAAATATCCATTCGTTTCTTTTCGGACTTCTTCATTTGTTGCGAACCTCTTTCCCTGGAGCCATCTTTTCAAATTAGGAAATAAAAAGTAGTCACTGGGTGCTAAATCTGGCGAATAAGCTGGCTGGGAAAGTGTTTCCCATCCTAACTCATCAAGTTTTGCCATTGCTTTTAATGACATGTGAGATGGCGCATTGTCATGATGGTACACAAATTTTTTCTTCTGCAAATGTGGTTGGCTTATCTGAATCTCATCCCGCATACAATTTAATAAGGTGGCATAATACTCTCCAGTGATCGTCTTTCCTTTTTCTAAGAAATCAATAAATATTATGCCACGTGCGTCTCAAAAGACACTTGCCATAACCTTTCCAGCCGATTGCTGCATTTTTGGTTGCTTTGGTCGACTTTCCTTAGGTTTTAACCACTGTGCTGATTGTTGCCTCGACTTAGGTGTGTAGCAATGGATCCACATTTCATCCATCGAAATAAAACGATGCAAAAATTCCGATGGATTGCGATTAAACATGTCCAAACACTGTTGAGAAGTCGTCACTCGGTTGCGTTTTTGGTCAACAGTCAACATGCACGGCACCTATCTGGCACCAAGCTTTTTATATTTCCAAATGTTTGTGTAAAATATTAAAAACACGTTCAGAAGAAATGTTTACACTATTAGCAATTTCACGAACTTTATTTTATGATTTTCTATCACAATATCATGAACTTTTTCTATCATTTCTTCAGTTGTGACCTCTTTTGGCCTTCCTGAACGTTCTGTGTCACTTGTGCTTGAACAACCACGTTTGAAT